AAACACCCTCTGGCATATGGATAAAATCCACCATGGCAGCTTCATGATTTTAAAAGTTTCGTGCTTGGCCTGCCATTTGTACAGTGGGTTGGGAAGATTTTATAAGTCAGTATGTAATGGATATTTGTTTTTGGAGATATACCTATATATACACATGTGTGTATGCACGTACATATGTATGTATGTATGTATGTATGTATGTATGTATGTATGTATATCCTCAGCCATATAAATGGATATGTAGCATAACCAAAGCAATGATTATGTATATAAAGCATATATCTAGGTATGTATGTATGTGTGTGCATATATATATATATATATATATTGTGTGTGTGCACACACATACAATGAACCATGCTAGGTGTCAAAAGGGATCAAGACTAGGCTTGTGTCAACCATGCTGCCGTCTGTTACACAGGATGATAGTCAGTGGAGATTAAAAAGCATGCTGTAACTATCAAAAGCATGCTGTAGACCTCATGGCCTTTGAAGTCAGTCAGGTGAATATTTGTTTTATCTGTGCTCTGCCACAAGCTGACTGGGAGACCTTGGACAACATACTGATGGTTAATATAATAAATATTTATTGTTTACATTAGTCAGTATGGGCCAGGTTGTTCTGCAGTTTTAAAAGAAGAATCCCAGTTACAACAATGATTTAAATATGTGAGGACCGAAAGTGGGGGAAGGGGAGCACTTCACATTGTCTTCTAAATCTTAAGCTAGGAGAGCAGCCACCGTTTGAACTGGTAATCATAGTCACATCAGGACAGGGACAGCAGAGCCTCGGGACTGCGCCCTGAAAACGAGGTGACTTTTGTGACATCTCATGGTCTAAAGCCAGATGTATGAGCATCAACTCCAAGTAACTTTGAAAGTACATGAAAGATTTTTTTCATGCTTTAAAGTTATTAATGCATATTAATTGTTTACGTGTCATTTCCATGTGACATCCCATAATGGTCCTCCTTTAGTTTATCCTCTCTCCTCCCGTTGGCTCCCAGACCTTCCTCCCCTGCTACTCAAAGGAGAAACTTCTGGAGAAACAGACACATGTTGCCAGATTTCAGTGTAAACATACATGACCTAAAGCCCTGGGCCATAACTGCTTCTTAGAAACTCAACAGGGAGTACTGTGAAACAATTTGACTTTATCAGAAGACCTGAAAAATGAGAGAATGTCCCTGTCTTCTTAAAATAATTTTGGATGTTGGCACTTTGGCTTGTATTTAAACACCTCATAAACACCTGGAAAGATTTGTTTAGGCAATGAAGTGGGGGCAAGTGTACTTGACCTCATCATCTCCTAGTGTATATGTCTGGATTTAGAGTGGGCATGTCTCAGATCTGACCACTCAATGCAGCTTTTTCATAGATTGGCTTTGTGTTTCAGGCAGTGGCTAGAACTTCCTGGAATCCCAGATGTATCCGAGCATGAGGCAGTAGTGGCCAGTCTCTAAGAGTTGACAAGAAAGCCCTCGAAAATATTTCTTAGATGGAGCCACTGTGTCTGGAAAACACAGGTCTAAATGTCTTCTCTTACCACTCCATCCATCCCTCATGTCCTTCCTCCCCTCAGCGCCACAGACTCAGAAGGCATAGCCCAGCCACTGTGCCTTCTACCCCCAGTACAGGCTTCCTCCTCCCCAGTACAGCCTCCCTCCTAACCCAGTACAGCCTCCCTCCTCTCCCAGCACAGCCTCCCTCCTCTCCCAGTACAGCCTCCCTCCTCTCCCAGCACAGCCTCCCTCCTCCCCAGCACAGCCTCCCTCCTCCCCCACTTTGGTGTTCATTGAGACAGTCATTGAAAAGGCTTCTCTTCTGGGGTGCTCTGGCCGGTCACATTAGATATATGCAGATAGAGAGACACCACTGTCACAATTGCAATAAGCCAGTCACATTTGCTACCCCATAGGAAGGATGGCAGTGGTTGGGTGTGTTTGGAATAACTTCGTCACTTGCCCCATTGAAAGGGGCACACTGTGGCAGGTTCCTTCTGCCTCCTGTCCTCAGGACCACAAAGCTATGGACAGTTAAAGTCAACATCGTCATCAGGAATCAAGCTCTGAAGATTGCCCCGACTGCTTCCCATCAACTCCTCGGTCCCCTTGCTCTTGAGATAAAGTATGCTGGTTAATTTAGATTCTAAATCTCAGCTTCAGTGGGGCAGAGCCTGACCTTAGCGTTCCTTGCACACCAGTCATCCCCAGTGTAATTAACATCACCCTGCATGTTTAGGCAATTACTGCTGCAGCATGAGGCAGGATGCCGTCCTCCTGCCTCAGCCGGAACATGACACGGTGTTTGGCTCCACAGCTCATGCGAAGCTGTGTTTTCGCCCAGCTGGAGGCCCCCTTCCTGCCATCTCTCCCGTACACTCTTAAGTGTTTCTCTGTGTAGTTCCCATTCTGAAGAGAGCGGGTGTTTTGCTGCATGCCTCCATTCCCTCCCCTTCCACAGTGAGCCTACCTGGAACCGACCCCTGAAGCCCTGAAAACATTTCTCTTCTCTGAGAAGTTTATCTTTCGCCCTCCTCTGCTTGGGGTGTGGATTCCGATGGCGTCACGTTCGTTCAGGCCTTTGAAGACCAGTGTCAATAAATGTGGAAGGAACAACAGTAGCTTGGCATACTTTTCCAGCAGGGTGAAAAACTGCTATAAATTAAGTCTAACCTTAAATGTATAATCTGTCCTTGGAAGAAGGGGGAAAAAAAGGGGATATAGCATCTTCAAACTCTCGGCATCCCTTACGAGAAAAAAATTGGTTCTAAGGGTCTCTGATCTTGTGTTTTAGTGAAATAGAACTGCACGGCTGACTGACAGTTCTGATCTAAAGCATTTACGTTTAAGTTTTGATCTCTCTGCTTTTGATTAAAACTAATGAGCTCATTTAATTCAAAATGGGAATCTCTGATAAGAGAAATAAGGTTGATGTGATTGGATTAGAGGGGCAAATTAAACTCTTAGAGCAGAAGTTTGTGCTTATATAGTGTATTAAAAAGCTGTTGGCGTATTATGGCGTGTTAGATGATGAGAAAAATTTCATAGTAATTCATATTTAATCAGAAGAAATGAAAGTACTAAATATAACATGGCTCTGCTTTTCCCTCGAGTGATAAAAAGCTGTACATTTAAAATGACATCAGATCCATGCTCTCTAAAACAAAAAAAAAAAAAAATGGAGAAGGCCATGAGAGAGGCACATGAGAAAGGGGCAGTTGTCCATCTCATCACCTCCGAGTAGGAGTGATACAAATGAGGGCGCTGAGACTCCCTGAGATATGAATGTCACAGAAAATCCCTAGACCACAGGTAGCTGTTATTGGAACAACCGATATTCTTCTATCGTCTGAGCATCATTTAATATGAAAAATAGAGATTACTTCTTCTTTGAAATATACAGAAAGCATGTCACAATTTGAAGTTTTTCCAATTTCTAATCCCTTATAATAGTTGTTTTGTTCTCTATTTATTACAGCTCTTCTCTCTCTCTCGCTTGCTCGCTCGCTCTCTGGCTCTCTTGCTCTCTCTCGCTCTCTCTTGCTTTCTTTGTTTTTTTGCCTCTTGAGATAGGGTCTCACTATATAGCCTTGGCTAGGCTGGAACTCAGTATGTGATCAGGTTTGCCTTGAATTCATTGAGACCTGCCTGCCTCTGCTTCCCAGGATTCAAGGGCGCCACAGTGCCCGTCCTCTTATAGATCTTTATTTCATGTGTTTTTTTTCAACCTCCATTCCAGAAAAAAGAAAAATTAGTGTTAGATTAAAGCTAGTCAAAAGAAATCCAATTTGTTGATGGGCTTAATTTTTTAACTTTCAAATAAGAAAAAAATTAATATCTAAGAACACTAAAATTAGACTACTAGTATAAAATCCCCAGATTTAATTTATTTGCAGGAAAAGACTTCAATTTATAAAATCTCTTCAAGACTATTTTAAAAGAAAATTGACCTACATTGCCCTCTGGTGTGCTTGCATCAAGGTCTTAGGTCCGCAGACAGCCAACCACCACTTGAGTTACTTGGGCAAAAACATTCTCCTCAGTCTAAAAGCATGTACTAGAAAAGAGCGACTACTTTGATTAAGGGGGGTAACTTCTTCTATTAAAAGTGGAGAAGTAGAGAGAACAGATAGATGCTCCCAGCAGTTCAGAACAAGTATTGCTCTTATAGAGGACCCAGGTTCACTACTCAGCATCCACAGCTGGCAACCCAAAACCAACTGCCTGGATCACCAGCCCCAGGAAATCCAGCACCCTCTTCTGGCCTCAGTAGGCACCTGCCCTCATGCACATAGCTCCATACAGACACACACAATTAAAAAAATGAATAAAATAAAATCAGAGGAATAAAAAACCAGACTCCGTTGTTTGTCTAACAGCTGGGGCGACAAGCCATTGTGATAGGAATAGGGAGTGGATATTTGGGTGGTTTTTCTTTCTCTCCACCTTATGTCCTGTGCTCACACCTTCATCCGGGGCCAGTTGAGAATACTGCATGCTTCCTGTTCGCAATGAACAGAACCAAGTGAGAATGGTGTAGAGCTAGGACCCTCTGCTCTACAAAGAGCAGGACCTCGGTACCTGTCCCCACAGCATCTCTGCCCATCCCTTGTTTCAGCCCATCAACACTTGGGCCCTTCCCTTTCAGAGCACGGCTGTCTATGCCCACCAGCCAGCCCTCCAAGGAAGCCAGAGTTACTTACTATTAGAGTTACTCACTATTAGACCCCACTTAGGAAGCTGCAGCAAATTAAAAGACCTGAAAGCTCTTACTAGAAACTGGAGAGGAGTTTCTGCCGGCACCTTAATTTTTCTTTCTTATTTTCTGCAAAGTAAACATTTTCTAGACGAGGTAAATTGATTGCCACCCTCTTAGCACCCATCAGTCATGTATTTTTAGTGAACTCGAGGGTTGCACCTGAGCAGAAGCTGTGAGGGGCTCTGTAGAGACTTCAATCCCATGCGTGTCTGTTTTTTTTTTTTTTTTCTGTTCCTCAGTGGAGACAGCCAGCCCCAGTCTGCTAACCACTGACAACACCCTCGAGCGGTCCTTTTTCATCCGAATGAAGTCTACTCTGACCAAACGTGGCGTCCACATCAAGTCGTCGGGATATAAGGTAAGCTGGGCTTCCGGAGGGGACACAGCCAATCCGAGGTGATTTACACTGAGTTTTCCAGCTGCTTCGGGTCCACATAATCAACCATGCAACGTTGAGTCCTACACAACATAAGCTGCCTAGCTATTTTTCTGTCTCAACAGAGGCATCTTCCTACCTCCTCATCACTGTACACATTGCTGGGGCATCAGATGCCACAAGCTCGCATTTTTTTTTTCTTAAAACCACTAGTTACTAATATGCCAAGTGCTTCGGCACCTGCTAGAGATCCACACTGGTGGAAACGGTGAACCAGATTCCTCTCCATCCTGCAGGTAAGTCTTCCAGAACGGCTGCTATGAGTCTCTCCCTTGTCTCCTGGTCCCTTGAAAATATCCCCTTTCTCTGAAATGACTATCCCAGTCAACAACGTTATCACCTAGATTCATACATGTCGGTAATAAAACAAACAAAAACAAGTTGGGGGTATCAGGAGATGGTAAAGTGCTTGCTGTAGAAGCATGAGAACCCTAAGTTTGGATCCCCAGCACCCACATGAAAAGCCATACTGAGTGGCACCGAGGAAGCGGAGACCAGAGGATTCCTGGCACTTGCTGGCCAGCTCCAGCTAGCACAGTTAGACGTGTCAAGCTCCAGGTTCAGGGAGAGACCATCTCAAAAAATAAGGTGAAAAGCCATTGAGGAAGGCACTGGACAACAGCCTTTGGTCACCACACGTATACACATGCACGCACACATTATGAGGTTGAATCTTAAAATCCTTCCTTTTGAAATTACAATTCTTGAACACTAGTCATGCTTTAACATCCACAAAATGTTCATATTCAAAACTACAAGGTATATATATTCCTCATGAGAAGAGATCAAATCTGGAGTCATAATCTACATTATCATCATTTTAAGGTTAAGGCTATAAAAGCCTTCTAATCGCAAGAGATCCCAACATTCTAGTTACTATAGCAACATAAAATTAAGACCTAGGAAATTTATGAAATGCATTTGAAAACCTGAATCTTAACAATTTTTACGACACACTAACCAATCTCTTAAACAGTTTACTGTACATAGGAAGGCGAACACAAACAAAATATAACTTCAGTGTGCCGCCAGCACGACGTGCTCTGGGCTGAGAGCATGGAGCTTCAGCTAGCTCCGTCCTTTAGGGTGACAATAGCATTGTTGGTGCTGCTAACAACCATTACTGACAGGGCTTAAAACCTTTATGGAAGTCATCAAAACGCCAGCGGCACTGTAAAGTCAGAGGCACACACTTTCGTGGACATTAATTCTTTAAAGGGAAAAAATGTTTTAAGAAAAAGAAAGGAGGTGGAAAATCCTCCCAAGGTCGACCTTTAGCTGAGCTGCCCCACAGTCTGAAAGGTTCGGAGAAACAACCTTGACCTTTAGCAGGGTGGGAAGCAAAGAGGGGGCAACTAACTGGTCAGTTCCGGCAGTAGCTTCCCTGAAGACAGTTATACGCCAGGGTATTGCAGGGAAGGAAGCCCGGCCTAGTCTTCAGGGCGTTTGGTGCTCTCCTGTCTTAGTGAACGGTGTGTATTCACTCCTTATTGAGTGTGAGCACTAGTGCATTTGGATTCCCTAAGTCGGCCACAGATGTGGGATTTCATTTGAGTACAGAAAGGGTCATTCTTTGCGGTCCAGATGTGGAAGTCCTGGGAGCTCCTTTTTAGCCCTCACTCTGCTGGCTGTCAGTATCCTTTCTAGTTTCTGCTGGCTGACAGGGGGCGTATCACAAGTGGAGAGCAAAAGTCAGTGTAACTCAGTGGCACTGGATAATTTAACTTTCTGAAAATAAAAAAAAAAATGATATCATACTACAAACATACATCATACTTACAAAGCTGCTTGGATATTTGATCATGTGCAAATCCGAGTGGGATATATGGCTACAATAATAATAAGGATAAATCGTGCATCTAGGTAAGAGACCATTGTCTTGTTGGGTTGTGATTGGCCACTCTGGTGCCTTGCTAAAGCTGCTCTTGCTGCCTAACCCGGAATTAGGCTTGTGAGCATCATCTGTTCAGCAAAGACGTTTGAGCTTCCAGTATGGGACTTGTTTGAGAGTCTAAAATCCCAGCATCAAAGAATACAAAGTCCTTGCTTTCATAGTACTTGCAGGGCAAGGACGATAGCAATAATAAAGGAGTGATTTTGAGGGTAACGCGAGCTCAAGAAACAGCAGACATCATCTCGGAGCCCTGCAATAGGCTGGGGGTGATTAGCTCTCACAACCAGCCTAGAAGAAAGGGTGTGAACCGTTCGCATTTTCTAGACACAAAGAAGCTAAAGTCGGAAAAGTAAATTAGCCTTCCCAAGGTCACATGCTGAAAAAAGCGAGCTTGGACTTGGTGTGTCTGACCCTGTACCCCATGCCTTCACTCACCAGGCTACACTATGCAGAGCTCCCCCAAGCAGGTGGCATGTCACTTGTGAGCCATGGATGAGAAGGGACTAGCATGTATGTAAAGGGGAGCAGGGGACTGAAACAACATAAACTTGGGATGAAAGATCCCTTACTACAAAAAGGGAGAGGCGATCTCAAAAGCACAGCCTTGAACAAGAAAGAGATGGCAAGCATTTAAGAGCGGTTCTAGAACCAGTCAATTCATGAAATGTTAGCGTACCCATATCGCTGGGGCACTCCTGTCAGGAAGTCTGTCTCAAGAAACTTCTCTACCCAGTGCTGTGTGCCCCTCCTCAGAACTGCTACCCACAACCCTTTCATCCCCCTTCCCCCAGGAAGATGAATCACCCAGCAGGCCTAGCCTTTCCCCTTCTCTGAAACAAACGTTCCTCATTAATTAACCTTGCCTGAAAGTTAGGGGAAGACCCAGTGAGCCTGTGACAAGACACAGCTGAGCGGCATCCCTGTGTGTCTGTGCATCCTCAGTAAGTAAATCTAGCAGCTTATAAAACATTCCCATAAAACTGGGTAATCACCCACCACCACACAATAAACAGAAATAAAAAGGAACAGCGATGATAATTTCTCTGTACTTCCAATATTCCGTCTAATTTATTATCAGCACGTACATGTTGCTGTTCCCATAAAGGACCACAAAGGTCTCTCTAGATCATTCTATTTCTTCATTTTTCCCTGCGACCTTGGACTATGGACCTTTCTAACTTTCTCTGGGACTTCGTCTCTTGCTGTAGTCAGGACAGCATTCGCAGTAACAAAAGCAGCACTTACCAAATGCTAACTGCATGCATGCAACTATACCTAACCCTTTATACTGATTAGTCCACGAAAGAGCATTATTTTCAAAGCTCCTGTGTGCAGTCTTCACATTGTTATGCCTGGTGTGCGGGTGGCGACACGCGGGCTTTCATGAGTGGTCTCCCTCCCCATGTTAGTGCCGCTCTCGAACAGCTGCTGGGGATCAGAAGGAAAGCCAGGTGATTAAAGCCTCAGAACTTGCCCTTTCAGCCCTTCTGCCTCACTCTTAAAGAATGAAGTCCGACCAAGGGCTCGGTTTGATATGATGGAGCTCAGTACAGGGTGACGTACATTTGTAAAGGGAGAACTTCCTGCCTAAGACCCTCCTGCGGTAGCTTACTGCTCTAATGCACCAGGGTGTGGTTAGTCCAGCGCCTGCCTTCCAGTAGCGACAGGGACCTGTCTTACTTTCCAGATTCTCATCCTGATCACATGCAGGATTATATGCATATACATAAACATACACGTACACAAGATCACATACATGCATGTCCCTAAGCCGGAACTCCAAAGTCTGAAGCATTTGAGCAGTGGTACAATGCCCCCGTGGAAAATTCCACACCTGACTCCATCTGCCAGACCATAGTCAAAGCAGAGATGGTACGAAAAGCAATCCACAAAACTACCTTTAAGGCTTTATGCATAAGGTATATATGAAAATAGATGAATTTTGTGTTTAAACTTTGGTCCCATCCCCCAAATACCTTGTCATGTATGCAGATATTTTAAAGTCTGAAAAATTCTGAAATCTAAAACACTTTTGGCCCCAAGCATTTCAGATAAGGGCCTAGACCCTTACTGGGCCTCATAGCCTGGACCTCATAACCAAAATTTCTAGCCAAGAAGTGCCCGTTCCATCCTGATTCGGGAATGGAATGTAACATCAATTGTGGGGGCTTCGCTTGCCACACCCTAGACCTTGGGGAATTGCTCTAATGAAGTTTTGTTTCCGTCGTCCTCTGCTTTAAAATCCACAGTAGCGTGTTATCTGGTCCAGCCACTTTTTATGCCTCAGGGGCCTCCCTGTTGTTTAGGTCTCATTGTTGGCCACATATCTTAGCACGACACAGCTCTCATTTAAATTGCCTTGCATCAAAATCTGCCTTCTTGATTAGGTCTCTGTCTGCAGGAACTTACTAGGTAGAGCACACGGGGCAGGAGGAGATATGTAATCAGGGAAATTATGGGAAGGAACACTAATTGGGTCACCTCCTTAGCTCCTGTCTTTGGAGGATAGCTTCCTTCGGTGTGGGCTTCCAGCTCTCTAATCTGCTCGGGCGTGCCCACCAGCGCCTCTGTCATTTCTGGAACGTTTATTCCTTACATTTTAATGCCCTAAACTCTAACAGCAGAGCAGAGCAGCCTGGGAAAACAGACAGAGAGTGGGCCCCTGTCCTGTTTTGAGCGATGTTAATAGTGTCTGAGTTTTTCACAGGGGTGAAATCTGCAGGTGGCTGAATTCCTGCCATGGCATGTACTCAGAAATCACTAAGAGACGCTGGGGAAACTGAGGGGGTTTTTAAAATCCAACAACCCTCATCTGGGATGACTTGGGTAACAAAGTGTTGAACTAAAAGACTGAAGACCATCCAGCCTCCTTAAGATGTAGAGATAGATAGATAGATAGATAGATAGACAGACAGACAGACAGACACACACACACACAGCGCGAAAACAACTGGGAAATTCATTGTTTTATTGGGATTGCTGATGACTTCCATTTTGCAAACTTCTAGTCCCAAGTGTCTAGAGACAA